TGACTTTAGCCCCAATATTTTGTTATTACTACGAGTCAAGCCTTAGGCCATCTTTATTATTAAAAAAATATTTCTTTTTTTCTTTTACTTAACTTTATATTCTCTCTTTCGTCTTTTTATTCAACTTTTATTAATTTTATACTCTCTTTAAATATAAAATTATTAAAAACACACTATTTCTCTCTTCAAAAGTATCAACTATTTGATACTTTTGATACTCTCTCTCCAAAAATACCCATTATCTCTTCTCTTTACTCAAATTTATTAATTTTATATTTCAATACACCCCATTATTTCAACCAAAAACACTCTCTTTCTTCTTTTTACTCAAATTTTAATAATTTTATATTTAATGATACCCACCAAAATTCACCAATACGGATGCTCTTAGGTTTTGCAATTGAAGTACTACACCCTATTTAAGCCTAAAGGTTTTTTTTTGTGAAATTATTTTTATTTAAGCTTTTCTTTTATGTAAATATATTGTTAACGATGATTTAACCGATGTTATGCATGATAATAATAGATCGAGAGTTTTTTTTTTTTTGTAAATCAGGAAGTTCCGAACTTTTGGCTCATAATCTCTTCGATACACGAAGTCAGCTTTTAGATATTTCGATTTAAAAAAATAACATTTGTACAAAAAAAAGTTTGATCCTGGGACACAAGAGAACTAAACTCTTATGTTACCTCTACCCCACCACATCTTTGGTACTTTCTCTGTATCATAATAACTAATTTCTGAGAGAAAATTTGTTGTACTAAATTAGTTGATGTTTTTCTTTTCCTAAGTAAAAATTTAATGTTTTTTTGTGACTATTGTTTAATGTAAAAATACATAAGAATTATATTATTTATTGAATTTTTTAATCTGTGTGCAATATCCTTAAACATCATCTAAAATAATATGGAGTGTAATAGATCAGAGTTGACAATTAATTTTTGGACAAACTACTCAAAGTTAATAAAGATAGTGTCTGTTTTGTTTCAGATCAGATCCGAAGGTTGTAAAAACTAAAATCGTGA